ACACACACACACACACACACACACACACACACACACACACACAGACACTGCTGTTTTAGTTCAAAACACTGCTTCATTATTGCTAAGAGAAATCCCACTTCTGCATACTTCACCCTCCCTCCCTCATGATCATTTGTAATGACGTGAGAGTTTTATCACCAATTTATGCCTCCTTTAAAATTTCTCCAGATTAGCCAGTTCACAGGTTTATCTCTGTGCACGTAGCTGCCATTGTGTTTCTATGAGAACCTGAAGTTAATTACTATGATTTACTGCTGATTAGAGAGCTGTAGAGAGATTTTGCCATTACATTACCACTCACTGCCAGAAACCCGACCGTGGTTTCCAGGGAAACTGGAAATGTGAAGCTTTTCAATAGACACAGCCACAGCCTAAAGAGCGAGGATTGCCTAAGATAGATTCTTCTAGAGACAAACCTGTAGCCACTGCAATCAGCATCAATCACCGGGGGGAGATGCACGGACAGATGTTTGTCGCAATCGGTGCTGAGATTTGCAATGTTTGACCCAAATCTGAAGAAGAGTTGTGGAGTGGCTTCAGCCTGACTTTAGACTGCTGAGGTATGTCCTAATTTTCTGAGATCTCCTTTTGTAATCATGCTTGTTTTTTAGTTACATTTTGAAAACAACTCTGAATTCATGTGCACGCTGTTTGTGTTATATAATTATGGACTAGAATAGAATTCAGACAGGAGCTGATAATGAGATATTTTTGGGCATGAAGATTTGACTTTGTCTCTTTTTAAAGTATTTAAAAAGATAGTCCTGCGATATTAAAGTAAGTGTGCAAACAATTCTGATCAAGTAGTAGCAGTGATGCTCCTGTGTCTATTTGAATAACTGAATAATATCAATTTCGTTTCGTATCGCATGACAGAATATTTTTATCTTCCGCTTGTGCTTGTGCTTGTTCCCGATGATTAACTGCACGGACACTTTCACACTGCTGTGTTATTCCTGCAGGTAATTCTAGCCCTTTAATGCGGAGACAGAATGGGAAGCCTTAAGGATGAGATGAGAGGTGTCACGGAGGACCACCAGCCTTGCGAGAAGACGGATAATGGGGGGCGTCCGGGAGGCTCAGATAGCACTGCTGCGCCTGAAGGACCTCAACTGTACAGGAGTCAAGAGTCAACCACTCAAGGGGACTATCAGCCGGCACTACAGGGGAATGTCAGCTCTGTTGAGGAGAAAGAGAAAAACCTAATATCTAAAGATCAAGTGCTTTCAGGGGGGGATTATAGCAATGCTGACCTAACAGACACTGAACGAGTTAAAAACTGCACACAGATCGATGCCATGCCTGCAACAGAAGAGCACAATAAAACAACAACAGCAGCTACAAATAACGATGCAAAGGTGACGATCAAGTTTCTGAGTGATGGAGATGGAAAACCTGAAATTCAAGAGGAAAACTTTGAAGATCAAAATCTCAACAGAGGAAAAGATGCAGGAATTGAGAAAATCTCAGTTGCTGTCCCATCAACTCCAGACCCTTATGACCCACGCTCCCCGGCCCCTTTTGGGCAGCACCACATGCGCACACAGGTGAGCCTCGAGGTGGTCCAGTGCTGCTCGGCAGCAACCAGCCCCATGACTCCTCCAGAGGGCAGCCATTCCTTCTTCTTCCCAAGTTCTTTTGGGAAACCTCAAGCCGTGGGCACTGACACTAAAGATGCAGAGTTGCAGGTGGGTCAGCAAGTGGAGTTCTGCTCTGTCGCCACATCCCCCATGACCCCCAAATCCCCATATAGCATGGCTTTCCCAGAGGTTATCGGGAGAGAGCCAGTGCAAAGGGACGAGAAAGTGAAAAAGAATGAGGAGCAGAGGGAGACTGGTCAGCAGGAGACAAAAGTTTCAGCAGATGCTGTGTCAGAAACAACTGAAACTTTAAAATTTACTACATCAAAGGAGATGACTGAGAGTTCCACCAATGGAGTGGATGCTGAGTTAATAGGCGCACATGTAAGTGTGGAGGGTAGCAATCAGCAGTGTAAGCAGCAGAGGATGGGAAGTATGGATCAAGACATTACAATCTTGGTGACCCAGTATGGCAACAATGAGGAGGAAGAAACGGACGAGGCTGAGTCGTTTTTTTATTCTGTTGAACCGGAGATGATCAAAATAGATGAAGATGAGGTTGGAGAAAGCTGCAGTGATATAAAGAGGAAGGAAGGAAAGTCCTTCAGTGAAAGTGTTCACGGGAGCACAAACGATCCACAAACTAAAGTACCTTCTGCTGCTGTCAGCGAACATCCGAAAACATGCACAGGATCCGAGCAGTCAGAGGTCGAAAACAAAGATGCACGTGAAGAAGAGAGAGTTGTTTCTGCAAAAAAATCCCCCATCCCTGAATCACCGGCTCCCTTTGGCTGCCATAACATCCGCACACAGGTGAGCCTGGAGGTAGTACAGTGTCAGTCTGTGGCCACCAGCCCCATGACCCCACCTGAGGGGGACCAGGCCTTCTATTTCCCCACCTCTTTTGGAAAATGTGGGGCTGTGGGCACAGAGACTAAAGATGCTGAGTTGCAGGTGGGTCAGCAGGTGGAGTTTCGCTCTGTCGCTACCGCACCCATGACCCCGAGAACTCCCACGATTATGACTTTCCCTCAGGTCATGAAGGAGCCTAGCATAGAGGAGAAGATAGTGGAGGAGGAAGAGGAAAAGAAAGAAGAGGCAACAGAGGAGAAAGAGGAAAAGAAAGAGGAGGCAAAGAAGGAGAAAGAGGAAAAGAAAGAGGAGGCGACGGAAGAGAAAGAGGAAAAGAAAGAGGAGGCAAAGAAGGAGAAAGAGGAAAAGAAAGGGGAGGCGACGGAAGAGAAAGAGGAAAAGAAAGAGGAGGCAAAGAAGGAGAAAGAGGAAAAGAAAGAGGAGGCGACAGAGGAGAAAGAGGTAAAGAAAGAGGAGGCAGTGGAGGAGAAAGAGGTAAAGAAAGAGGAGGTGATGGAGGAGAAAGAGGAGAAAGTAACCCAAGAGAGAAAGGTGGAGGGAGTTGAAGAGAACACAAAGGAGGAAATAAACTGTAAGGAGAAAGATGAGGAGAAATGCGAGGAGCCAGTGCAGGAGGTGAGCTGGGATGAGAAGGGGATGACGTGGGAGGTGTACGGAGCTGTGGTGGAAGTAGCCGTGCTGGGCTCTGCCATCCAGAAACACCTGGAGAAGCAGGTGAAGAAGCAGAAGAGGCAATCCTCCATGCCACCGCCTCCTCCGCTCAACCCCACAGCTACACCCCTGACCCCCGAGATAGCCCAGGGGGGTTCAGGTAAGGGTCGTGCAGGGAGAAGAGGGGAGCATGATGGGAAAGCGGGCCGACGCAGAAGAAACCCCTTCCGCCTGCTGATGGAGAACATGCAGCAGCCACACTGTTGCTCCAGAGCTCATACCACTGAGTGACAGGAGAGAAAGTTTACATGGGATCTGATACACGTGGTTGTTATCCAGTGCATCCACTGAATGACGTCGTCTCGACGGTGTGAGAAAAAGAAGGACAAAATTCACACCTTCGCTCAAGACAAGCAAGCACAAAAGCATTTAATATGAAGTTTGCGCCGAGAAGCATTAACCGCTGAGAAAGCAGCCATAAATTATGATTTCTCTTTTTATCCCCCACACACCCCACCCTCGCTGATTGGTATCTTATTCACAAATCTCTCTGCACACACCGACAGAGTGATGATGGGCGTTTGGGGAAATGAGAGCGATGCGTCAGCGTCATCATCAGCCTGGCTCTCCTCCTTTAGTGTTTTTCGCTGAAACCATCCACTGACTCATTTTAGCTGTTGGTGCTTTTTTTGTTGTTGTTTTTTCCACTCACCTCACACAATGTGAAGCCATGGCAACCAGCTTTTCTCCTGGTTGCTAAAAAGCTTGTTAAGCTTCGACAGAGAGAGAGAGATGATAGTGTAATGACAGGTTTGGAGTGTGATTTGTGACCTGGTGGCCTGGGGGATATTTAAATCGATTAAGTGTTGCCTTGATCTCTTTGTAAGAGGAGTCTCTACTGTCAGTGCAGGCTTTTGTATGTCTTATATATTGCTTTAGATTTGGCAGTGTTTTGACTTGTTTGTATTGTGAAAAGTGTAAAAAAAAAAAAAAAGACAAAAAAACTGATGACGCGTACAATCACCTTTCGAGGAAAGTAATGACTCCTGATATCAGGGTATTTTTAGTCATGAGTGCTCACAGTATTTTAATGCCATAATCTGTGATCCTGTTGTAAATTATGCGAAGGCAATGATTTTAAACGTGTTTTGAACAAGCGGTTGTTACAGTGTCAGTGAATGTCCGTGTTCACCAGCATTAACTTCAGGTCCACATTCAAAGGATCAGAATTTATTCATGGATTGCACTTGTGTTACATTCATTTAGGTGTCAGTAAACAGTGAATAATCTTTTCAATCTGCTGCTTGTTGGAAGTCACTCTGCATGAGTTTTTTTTTTTTTTCTCTTCATCAAGAATTTCATAGCAAACACTGACAAATTAAAACAGGGAAAGAGAGAGCGAGATTTTGTCAGACACACAGTTATAAATAAGGGTTTCATTCATACACTGACATTTTGAAACCTTTTTTTTTAAATTTATCTGTTTTTCTTGATTTCTGTGTTGGTATAACTTTAAGAAACAGTTTCTTTCAAAAGCAATTCAAACCCTTTTTAAACCACTGCTTATTATAATAACAAAAATAAAGTGATTCACATGTGCATCAAGCAAGAAGTTTGTGTGTTTAACCACTGCTGCTATTCATTTTTTTATACTGCATGGATTGAAACTGTCTCTACAGAAAGATAGAGGAAGAGTTTATTTAGATATTTTTAGGCCATCGATATTGATTTCACTTTCATACCTATGTACAAACTATGAGGCTACAGCAAACAAGCAGTTCGCATACTTCAGCTCTTTGCCTGGATTAGAATAAGGTCTTTGAAATCATTACACTTTTATACAATTAGATCTTTTTCACAAAATAGGACCCCCCCTTTGGTTCAGTTTTATGCTTGTAAAGGGTGTTTAGGCTTCAAAGTTAAATCTGTAATACAGAAAAGGCTATTTGAAGATGAAGTCTTCATCAAGAACTATATAATAAGTTTGATTTGGTATGCCTGATTACAAAGAAGCTACATTTGTCTAGCTGAGGCATCTGGCCTTCACTATTTACATTACAAATCTGTGGTGTCAAATACAGGGTTGCTGTACCCCATGAGGGGGTTGTCAGTGCTTTGGTTTTGGTCAGCCAGGGTCAGTGCTTCATGCAAAGGCTCAGTGTACCCTGGTGGATCCTCTTTCGGATGTCGAGCACTTTCCAAGTCAGAGTCGTCGGAGTTGAAGCTTAGATGGCTTTGGTGGAAAAACAAAGAGAAAGAGGGAGACAATATGAACAAATGATCATTTCAAGGTTTTTGATTTAAAAACAACAATCACATGGCATTGCTGGAAGCACAGAGCCAGCTCTGTCACAACATGCTGTAGTGGGCACTCTGTGGCAAAATGTTCACCTGGAAATCATCCCGGTTTATTAACCAGCACAGCTACAGAGTGGTGAGCGCAGCTGCGTTTCACCGTGAGCCACCTTATCAAACTGTGTTGATCAAGCCAGTAACTGCTCTCTGTAGGCAGTGGACCGATTTACAGACAGGGTTCTTTGTTTCCTTGTTGTTTTTGTTTTACCTGTGTTTGTCATCATCAGAGCTGCTCTCTTCTAACTCGATGGTTGTGTCGATGTTCAGGTTGAGCACAGGATTAGCACTATCAGAGAGAAGTGACACATGTTAGAAGGCAAACTTATGCATTAGGTTTCATACCATTGCCTATTTCATTTATCTGAATAAGGTTTTGTCTCCTCACCCTTCCATAGTATACTTGTTGGTTCCAGGTAGCATAAGACCATTTTTCTGGTTGTCATAATTCATACTGGATGCAGATTCTGCAGCTTTAGCAGCCTTAAGCTTCCTTCTGTAGCTGTAGGGTGGAATGATGAGTGGTCAGTACACAGACTCCCTGCTGGTCATAGTTGTTTGAAATCATAGGTATCACATTTTCTTACTTTCTGCGAGTGCAGAGGAGTGAAGTGGTGAGGACAAGAAGTACAATGACAAGGCCTGCCACAATCCCCAGCAGGACATATTTTACTGTGTCCACCGTTTTTTCTTCCTCGGGAGCAGTCCCCTAAAAACAGAGGTTTCAGGTTTCGAGTTTCATATGTAGATTATATTTACACTAACCTCACAATTTTCACATGTCCTTTAATACTGATCAGACTTATCAGACCTCTTACTAATCTGGAGTTAATTGTTTTGTAAAATGAACCAAAGGGATTGCTACTGCTGTCTCCTTTAACCAGATTTTAAATGTCTTTATCCCTGTAAAATATATTTTACTTTACTTTTCTAAATCTACATTAAAAAATTGTTTTTACACCCTCAATATACACAAAGCAATAATTTTGAGTAAAATGCAACTGTAATATATAAAATTTATAAAAAGGTTTATTTATTCAAATAATTAAAAAATGTGACTTCATTTGACAAGATTCCATTAAATGTAGCATTTTACATATACTTACGTAATAAAATTCCATGAAAAAATGTACATGTAAAAAATCAGTTACATTTTTTTTTGGTTTTTATTGATGTTTTTTTGGGGGGGGTGGGGGGTCAACACTGATATTAAAGTAATTTAATATAAGTAATTTTTCCATATAGCCAATATAATTCAAATGCACCATCCCTTACATACACTGTAATGTTACATACACTGAGTCATTAATCTCAACGTAGTTACGGCTGTTTCTGAAGATCACGTGATCCACCTTTATGGGAAATCAAATGCCTTTTAATATTTAATAAATATAAATCCTAAATTATTGAAAATTAGGCATGTTTTTTAAAAGTGATACACATGAAACAATTCTGAATTTAACCTGCTGGTGGAGCCAGAGTGCTTGTTGGAGCACACATTGAACTTGGTGAAAAGAATCAGTGAACTATCCCCTGCCCCTGTGCTGACTCTGAAATACTTTGTATTAGACTGCCAACAGCAATTTATCAAAAAAGAAGAATAAATGATGACGAAATGACCAAGAAGATATAAAGAAGAGGCAGAAAAATTGTTGTTGTTTTTTTGCCGTGTTTAAAAAATAAAACCGTACTTACAATGTTATCTAGCCCAAGCTCTATCAGCTTAGGAAAGTGTTCCGCATCAGAGAGCATTATTTCCACTTGAACAGAGGTAAGGGCCGTTCCATTGGCATAGACAAAATAAGCTACCACAACAGTTTTCTCTGTAGCCCTGAGAGAACCATTAAAACACACACACACATACACATAAATTAAATCAACACATTTCAGCTGTTTAAAACCTAAAACCTGGAGTTGCTGCCATTGACATTTTGTCTACATGTGCAATTGCACCACCTAGTGAGGAAAAACAAAGCATAGGAGTAAGCAAGGAGATATGAAAGGGAACTTACCTGGATGTCTCACTGTTGTAAGGCCTAAGAGCAACAATTTCAACGGCAGCCTTAGTGGCAGTCATAAGTGCTCTAAGAGTCCCAGAAGATGACGGGGGGAAGAAAATGGGTAGATTTAAGTGGTGACTGAATGAAAATTAGCAGATTAGATCAGATATAGTCTTTACTAATGATTCAGACATTACCTCTTGATCTCACTGAGCTTTTTTTCAACCTCAATCTGATTATTTGCAAACCTGAGTTCGACTTTGTAGGATTCATCGACTGTGAAAATCTGCAGTTATAAAAAGAATGCAAACATTGGTGTGTGCTGCAAGTTTTACAGCCTGTTTTCAATATACAACACAGGGTAAGCAAATCCCACGTCACTTACATCCAGCACGGTGCTAGAGGACAGGCTGCCGGGATCAGTCGCAGAGACTGTTACCAAATACTTCCCCTTCAGTGTCAAATCAAGTGTCTGTGTAGATCTGTGGATAGTTGAAGGGAAGCACACCCATAAGAACCATAAAAATGCACCCATGACAATATCATTTTGGAAAAAACAACACGTGCATGGGCTCCTATTATCCCTGCTCGAGTATAAATGTAAATATATAAGTAAAAGTAAAAACACCGACACTTGTGAGAAAAACCAGAGCAGACTGAGTTGTGACTGCAGGAGACGATTTTGTACTCACTGAATAATCCCAACATAGCGGTCATTTTGCTGTGTGGTGACAGCCTCAAACAGTGCCCCCTTGTCACTTATTTCATTGTTGGTGTTTTGGAATTTCACATCTGTCACTTTAAACTCGATCTGACTGTTTATGCCACTGTCACGATCTGTAGCCTATGAAAGACATGAAGTAGAGCATCATGCTTCATGCATCGTTAACATGCCGAAATGAGGTCAGGTGTTTTTGCTTTTCAGTTGTACTCACAGTGACCCCTGCAACTGATGTCCCTTTGCTTGCACTTTCTGACACCACAACTATAAAAGAAGAAGAAAAAAATCAGCGTTGGACTCATATAATGTTTTAAAAATTTAGGGCGATATGTGAAAGAACGTGGCCCTGTTGGTAAGTACTGCAGACGAGTGGTTATTCTGAGAGGACTCACCAAACACCTGACTGTCTGAGAAAATGAATTCTGGGGCATTGTCATTGATGTCTTCAATGTTGATCACCATTAGGCCTGAAGAGAAATGACAGTGAACCAGCTTTTATGTAAGCTGTTTGTTTTAATGGCTTACTCTTATTATCAGCAAACAACCCATTACTGACCTGTTGTGGCGCTGTTGTTATATCCCTTCTCTGTGTTAATGTCCACCACCTGAGCCTCTACAATCGCCTGGTCGCATTTTTCATAATCCACCGTGACCTTAGGGTTGACCCTGACCTCTCCGTTTGGATCCAGGACAAACAAGTCGCAGAAATCTAGGGTGTTATTGCATCTGCATTTGACGGATTCCAGCTCAAAGACCAGAGAATGACTCCCGTCTTTATCTTCCGCTTTAAAACTCCCAACAGCTTCCACTACTGTGGTGTTCTCCTTCACTGTCATAGATGCTATTGGCGTGAACTCAGGTCGCTCATCATTTACATCAAGCACATCTACGTCCACCATCACTGTAGCTTTATTTGACTCCAGATCTGCTGCCTCTACCCTCATATTAAACTTTTTGGGGCCTTTCTCATAGTCCAGCTCAATGTCTGGGTCCACAGTGATGTTTCCCATGAAACCTCTTGTGGCAGTGAAGGTTCGAATGATGAAGTTCCCAAAGCTCCCATCGACAATGCTGAAAGAGATGCGATTAAACTCTGCTGTTTGGTCCAAATCCTCAGCTTCAACAGAGCCAACAAATGCACCTGAATGAATGATAAATATGAATTAAAACCCTGACAAGTTAAGTTGTAAACACTTAAAACATTTTGCGGTGTGAAATACTTGCCTTTTTCTCCTTCTTTAACAGAGAATTTGTAAGATGGGGCAAAAATTGTTGGCGTGTTATCATTGATGTCCTGAAATGGATCATAAAGAAGAAGAAACACTGGCAGTCATCAGCTGTACCAGCATTTACACCATCTCTTGTAACTTGGTACTGTCAACTTGCTAAAATACCTACCTGTACATTGATGGTAACTGTGACATTGGTGGATAGCGGGGGTTCACCCTGGTCTGTAGCAGTCACTACAAGTTTAATCTCCCCTTCCAGCACTGGATCCAAGGCCTCACGATCCAGTTCAACATGGTTTGTCAAAACACCGGTTTCAGGGTCTATAGTGAAGTTCTTACTGTATGTGCTTGACACGATACCATACACAATTTGGCTGTTTGGAGTATTGGGCTCATCTCCATCAGTAGCCTGTCCAAAGCAGAGAAACATCAGAAGAGACACTTTTAGGAAGATGATTTTCTTTGCTGATACTGCAAAAATGCAATAAAAGCCTGAAAACAAATATTTATGGCCAAATGCTGAATTTAATCCAGTAATGCCATGTATCGTATAAACTTTTAAGGCTACAAAAGTACAATATTGACCAAAACCTCATATATGTAACCTGAAATGTAATTTCTTTTTTAATATAATTTGTCAGAGGGTCCAACAAACACTCCAGTTTTAAAAAAAATACAATTTTCTGGAAATGATTTCATGGATCAGCCTTGACAGGGTTAAGTCATTTGATTAAATGTACATTTTTGATGTAATGTTGTTACATTGTGTAAAACAGTGTAAAACATTTATTGGAATCTGGTCAAATGAAATGTACCTGATTGGTATACATCTAGTTTATATCAAGCATATTTTCCTTAATAATTAATAATTTATTTCAGTCACATTTAAATTATTTTAAATTAAAAGTGATGTTTCATATTTATGATGACATGTTTTGACTGTGTATGCATTTGAAAATTATAACTCCCTGTCAATTTCTTGGAAAGTTTTTTTAAAATAATATTTTAGTCCTGGCTACACACTTTATTCATGTCACATGACAGGCCATGATATTGGGTGATGCAAATTTCTCCAGAAATGTATGTTTGGATCAGACTTCACTAGACTCTTATATCCTAAATCCATATTTTTTAGTTTTAATGGAATTTAGCAGATTTTAAATATATATATATATATATATA